TGAGAGTGAGTGAATGATTGGTCCAAAGTCATACAATTGGCTTTCATGCCTAAGGCAGGACTAGAACTCCCTGCCTCCTGGTGATTGGCCCAAAGTTACCTAGTCAGCTTCCATATCTAAGGCAGGACTAGAACTCACAAGTCTCCTGGTGATTGGCCCAAAGTCACCCAGCTGCCTTTCATGGCTCAGGTGGGATTTGAACTCGTGGCCTCCTGCTTTCTAGTCCTGGCCTTAGCTACTAGACCATATTGGCTCATTAAAACTTCGATAGTCTTGTTTCAACCCTGAGCTGCAAATGTTTTCCTTTATTGTCTTGTTTTATTTACAGAAATCTTATTTAGGAAGAACTATAATTCTTCCCATAGCCGAGGCATTCAGACACCCCCCATTCAGCAATTTTCTTGTCAATGGTTTGTTTCACTTATGCCAATTCTTATTTCCAGATATGTAAAATTTCCACTCAGTCAGCAAAACCAGACAGTTTCCTACACAATGTCAGTTGACACACTCTTTCTTTCTCTTTCCCTCCCCCTCCTCTTTTGCACGGTCTTTAAGTGAATCTGGCTTTTCCGTTGAGTTTTGCTTGTCAAAAAATGGCTCAAATCTTGGAGCGAGATTTGGCACTCGGGTACCGGCTGATATGTTAACCCAAGAGGCTTTGCAATGAAATCCACAATGCATGCAGTCCTTGATGAAATCAAAAGTGCATTTCATAAATAGTTTATCAAAGATTGTAACTAGGTGACTGAAGTTTCCGTGGGTACAAATATCTGTGATGATCCAGAGTGTAACACAAACGTAATAAAATCCAAAACGTAAATAAATGTCCTTTAATGCCTCCAACTTGGCCCCACGGTTCAATAATTCTCCGCTGAAGATAAAACGTACTCAAAAATAGTCTTCAAAAGAAAGCAATACAGTCCAAACTTAATGAGCAGATAGAGGTTAAATAAAAAACCAAACTACAATGACGAAATTTCTACAACGGACAAAATTCAAGGAGATAACAAGGCGCAGTCTGTTGGAAGGACGCCAACCAAGATAACAGCCCAAAATAAAACACGTTTTGCTTCTGGCAACACTGTGTTGTAACCATCTCTCTTATATACTATTCTCCTCAGCTGCAACCAATGTGGGGGATCATGGCTGCTTCCTCTCTCATAAGCCAAGTTGCTGCCTTCTCCGTTCCTCCCTGCATGCCTTAGGATGAAGAGGGGATGGGCCTGGTTCTTCCTCTGACTGCCCAGCCAGCCTCTGCCCTTCCCCAGCCTCCTCCACAACCTCCGGAGTCACACCTCCACTCTGTTGGCTGTTCCTCCTCTCCCTCAGAGTCTGACTCTAACAGGGGCATGCCATATCTAACTGGAGAGCAAGAGTGATGGCTCTGGGCTATGGAGGTGTCCCATTGGAGAATATGAATTATAATACACTCAGAGGGGTGAGGGAAAACCAGGGTCAAGGGTGACAATGAATGATGTGCCTCAGAGTTGGTTGCACCCAGGCAATGCTGGACATGATAACTCCCAATAAATCCTTTTGAAGTTTTGGAAGTTTGGCTCGAGTCTCACGATTTAATTGGGGTAACTGCCGGAATCCTGACAATGACCACAACTGAGCCCCCAAATCTCTGTTGTTCAGTGACACATTTGCTCAGGAAATTTCCTCCCATAAATTATACAAACTTTCTTGCTAATCGTTGTTAAGTGGATCCCCGCAAGTCCTTAAATGAATGACCCGGTCATTAAGTGAATCTGACTTCCTTTTTGACTTGGCTTGCGAGATGATAGCAAAAAAAGGGGACCCCCGTGACACCTCCCTTCCGGGATACTGCGACCGTCATAACTATGAAATGGATGCTAAGCGTCTGAATTCTGATCACCTGACCATGGGGATGGCTGCAAGGGTCGTAAGGGTGAAAAACGGTCATAAGTAATGTTTTTCAGTGCTGTTGTACCTTCGAACGGTCACTAAATGAAGTGTTGTAAGTCGAGGACTGCCCATAATGCAGGAAGTGACATCAGTGTTAGTGCTACATCGATCAGTAGATCAGCGCTTGTCGTACACATGTAACACAATGTGTAAAACTCCGTCCAACCTTTTGCTATTTAGGCAACCTAAATAAAATTCCTTTAGAGAAATTAACCTGTTTCCCTGAAAATACGACCTACCCTGAAAGTAAGCCCTAGCTTGATTTATACACATGTGCCCAATATAAGCCCTACCCCCAAAATAAGCCCTAGTTAAGATCCCGTCCACTCCAGAGTAAATGAGTAAAAATTAAGCTAGGGTGGGGATGAGAGGGTGGAGCTGCCCTACTACTTACCTTGGGATGGATGGATGGATGGATGTAGAGGGAGAAATGGTATAGCTGGATAGATGGTAGCTAGAGAAGAAAGACAGACAAATTGATATATAGATTGATGACAGACATAAAGAGATGATACATAGGTAGAAAGGGGAGTGGGTGGGTGGGTGGGAGGAAGGAAGGAAGGAAGAATGGATGGGAGATAGATAGATAGATAGATAGATAGATAGATAGATAGATAGATAGATAGATGGATGGATGGATGGATGGATGGATGGATGGATGGATGGATGGAT